TGGCCATACATGGGAGGTTTCATGGATTCCTGGAATACGAGATGAGCATACACGACTAGAGTGATCTGAGAATGGCGGGAGCCTACCTTGCGAATTCCCGACTGTCTGATGGGCGGGGCCATTGTGGGTCGAATGGCTGACATAGGGTTGTGTTCATCTTCCGTCTTCCTGCGCTTAGATTCACCGGAAGGTTGGACAGTACTAGACTTCATGGCTGCGGGACGGTAGCTGGCTTCCTCGTCCAGCCCTCTCTTTGGTGGTTTTGCCGGATTGGGCTGAGGCGGGTTGATCGTCCGACTGAAAGGTTGAATGGATCCAAGCCGTGACGCGGGTCTGGCAGCCTGTGAAAGAGGTCTCTCTGGCTGGACAATTGAAGCCTAAAGTACATGGAGCATCAGCATAGATTCAAAGCCGCGTCGCGAGATTCACTTACTCGTTCGCTCGTAGGTTGTTGACTGCCCTGCCTTTCCAATCTCCGTGCATTTTCCTGTCGCCGTTTCTCGATCGCCTGTATCTGGGCGGCCTTCTTCGCATCCTCAGCAGCAAGCCTTTCCCGGCGTTCGGCCTCTGCTCGGCTGCGCATTTCCTGGCGTCGCGCTTCTTCTTGCTGCTGAGCAGCTCGCTTGCGTTCCAACTCACGTCTCTGTTCCTCCCTGCGGCGCGCCTCTCTTTCTTCCTGCTCCCTTTTCCGCTCATTTGCAAGCTGAACCTTGCGCTGCGATTGGCTGGAGACTGAACTCTTGAAACTGCTATTTGAAGACGCGGTATGTAAAGAAGAATTGCTTGCCTTTTTCTTGAGAATTGGCGGCTTGGAAGCTGAGGGTGGTGCAGCGACAGAAGCACTGGGTTCTGGACCGCTAGACGCCACGGAAGTGGATGCTAGGGGGATCTGGCGCGAAAGCGCGCTGCCGACACGAATAGAGACGGGCTGAGGCTTGGGTTTCTGGAGAGCTTCACGAGTGGGCTTGACAGGGCGCCGATCGTTCTGCTTTGGCTGCTGTTGGGAGACGGACATTCGGCTGGGTGCTCGAGAAACGGTTTCGTGGCTGGGTTCGGGCTCTCTAGATTGGTGTCTCTGCAGCGGCTGTGCCTTCGTCGAGCTGGCTGGAGCCGCGGCTGCCGAAGGGGGAGCGTTACGTTCCTCTTCTTCCATCCGCGCCCTTTCCTGAGCGATCTTCAATTGAAGAGCTTTCTGGCGTTCCTCTACCCGCGCTTTCTCTGCATGCTCCTCTTCTCGGCGACGATCTTCAAGCTCTTTTTGCTTGCGTTTTTCTTCCCTCTCGGTCGAGCTTCGCGTTCTGCGCCCTTCTTGTCGAGGGAGAGGACTAGATATCTGGACCGGCCGACGATCTTGTGTTTCACGAGCAGTATTACCGCTTGGACGATTGTACGAATGCAACCCTAGTTCATCAGGCGAGGACGCTTCTAATCTTGCGGCGGCTGTCACACTGCCGGTGTTCGTAAACAGACCTTTGGCAGATCTCATGATAGATTGAAGTTTCAACTTGGATGCGCTCAGAGGGCCATCATGACGCTCAGCGGCTGGGGAGCCCACTGGTGTTGTGGAAGCGTGATGGCCCGTATTGGACACTGATGCACTCTTCTGATGGGTAGGCCGTTGGGGTGAAGAATAAGCTGGCGTTGAAGACTTTTCACGGATCGATTCTGTGACGTTTCGGTTGCTGGCTCTCGCCGCGTCCGTGTCACTCCGATTCTGAGTCCGTGGTACTGAAACCTTCTCAATGTATGGGCGACTTGTTTCCTTAGTAGACTCTTTCACATTCACGTCCATTTTCGGGCTTCTGAGAGCATGTGATTTCTGTGGAGACTCTATTGGCTTGATCCAGTCGTCCCCGTCGATCGCCATAGGCTCCGGTGCAGACGCTTCGCGAGATTCCTGATTGAGCACCTCTGACTTCGCACTAGCTGCTGGGAGCTCGGGATAAGCAACGTGAGTAGAGGATAGGCCTGACACGGATGGGATGGACTTTGTAGGCCGCGAGGGTTGAAGTTTGCCAAGCATGCTAATCTTTTCGTGAAGTCTCTGAGTGGAAGACTTGGTATGGGCCTTGCTAGCTGTGGCGTCTGCTTCTGCCTCAATATCATCTTGTTGCTGAGCACCTCTTCTACCCTCATCAATATCCATATCGTCATCCAGCGCTGGCTCCTCGTCCACAGCAGTATTTCTGTGTCCACCAGTTTGCCGACCAAATGAACTAGGACCTGCATTGTTCACTCTAGTGATGTCAATGTGGCTCGTGCGAGAGATTCTCGAGCCGCCCAAACTCTTCTTCAACAGTGGCTCCCGTGCAGGGAGCGATGCGAAGCTCAGGCTGCTCTTGCGGATCGGAGGTCTCTCCGGTGTGGAGTTGTCGGAAGGCGTGCCGATGTCATCCAAGGAGTCAAGAGGCGTGTCGTCTTTTTCATGAATCTCTTCTTCTACAGGAGCTGCTGGTTGTTTCATTGGAGAAGACTTGGCTGGCGATGTTTGTGGTTCCGCCTGTGGCTTGGACTCGGACTCGACCTCGGCCTCGACCTCGGCCGCCGAATCAGCCACGACGAATGCTTCCGGCTGCTTCTCATCTGGCTGGGGCGTGGAAGAAGCCATCTTTTCCTGTTTTGGTGTCGTCTCATTGTTGACAGCCTCCACAGGCTCCTCCATAGGCTCCTCTATAGGCTCGACCGTCTCTCCGCGTTGGCGTACGTCTTCCTGAGCCGAATGGAATGAAGCAGCTGTTGTACGACGATCAACAGACTGTCGCTGGGGTTGGTTTTGGGTTTCATTGGCGGTAACGGGCTCGGCTTCGAGAGGTTGGGTGGAAGTCTGCGTCTCCGACTGCACTTGGGTGAGAACCACATCATCGTCATGATCGTCCTCTTCATCGTCTGGCATGCCATGGTAGCCCGAATCGGTGTTATACTGGGGGAACGAGTTCAAATTCTGAGTCAAATCAGGATACTGAGGTTGCGAGGTATTCTCTGCGATGTCCTTCGTCTTGATTGGAGAGACTTTTGGCTCCGACGGCGCAGTTGTGATAGGCGCAGCGGTAGGCTTGACGGGTGAACGGGCGGGGCTGACATTACGACTGCGGTCTCCTTGATTATGAGATGTCGTGAAAATCTCACTCAAAGGCTGATATCAGTCAGTACAAATAATCAACGAAATCAAACATAGCAATGGATGCGGCCAACTTACGATTCTGTTCTCATTTACATTCCGCTTCCGTGCTGTTCGAGGTGTCTTACCTCGGAGCTTTCCGGGAGTTTTGAACACGTCTGTAAGATTGCTATTTTGCAGTCAGTAAGGGTCGACGGATTGTTTAAGATGTAGATCAGAACGCACAATTGATTGCTGGCGAACACCTCTGCCATGTGCTCATTCAACCAATCCATTTCATGGCGCACAGGATACTCAATCTCTTCCATCTCCTGATCGACCAGCTGCGCATAATTCTCCTTCTCGGTTGAAATCCATGCTGCAGAGCCCACAGGCTTCTGCACCCTCGGTCCGGCAGGCGCCATGGCGATGTAAACAAATGCGATAGGAAGAATTTACTGGGCGGGTGCGGGACAGATTGATGTAATCAAGTAAAGGGCCAAAATGCCCGTTCTGAGGAGTCAGGACCAGGCGAGGTAATCATCGATTTATGGCGTGGTGCGGCTAATGTTTGCTGGCAAACAATGTGCTGCGGTCGCTCGTCGTCGGCGGAAGTCGAGCATCAAAACATCGGAGACGCGTGAGTCCCGCAATATCACGTGATAAAACTACATCATGAAGTCTGCCTGATTTTGCTGGCATCTACTCCGTAGATCCATTCTAATTCTACGCTGCCATTCCTCGACACAATGACTTTTATATTTGCACCTTCTCAAATAGCCAGCAGCTCGTTAGAGTGGTCATACCTGATGGCCAAAGCCTGCACCAGACTCTCTTGTTCTGCACTCGTTTGATCCCTTGCTTCCAGCGGTGGAATCCGCCAGTGTCGGTGAGCCTCTCAGCCTTCACTACTGCCTTCTCTAGTGACTCCATAACAGTGCTAGAATTGAGAATAGTCAAAGGGGTTGAGAATTGGATCTAAGCTTTCGGCCAGAATCCCGAACTGTAATTAAGAGCATAGTTGTTATAAGCCGCAATCCACCAACCATCTAGAAGGATCAAGCAGAAGATCGAAGCCGCCTCCAATCAACAGCAGTGCAAACATGCTCTTGCAAATCAGCCTGTCAGAGTCAAAGAGATCATTGTGAGATCATAGGCAACTTGACGGCTTCCGCCATTCGCCCATGCGGGGGGTGACTGTGTTTTTTCAGCCACAATGCTCGAGAGATCTGAACCTGGACACTAGAATCAAGTTTAAATACAAATGGACAATGACCGTTGTATGTAGTAGCGCTGGAACTTTCGCTTTCATGGGTATTTCGCCTGCCAAGTTTTCAGAGTGTGGCGATAGAGAGCCCCTATGATGTTGATACTGCGTATGTCATCACGAGGAAGTGAGTGCCGCTATCACATGTCGAAGGAGCCCAGAAATATTAATAGTAGCTTTTGTCAGACAACTCTCCATGTAACTACGAAGGAGGTAGAAGTCTGTTAATGCTTCAAGACGGGAAGAACAAATTAGTGAACAATAAATAACATCCATTATTGCAGAATAATACTCGAGTGGGTCGTCCCTTAGAGAAAAGGCAGTGAAGCACACGACCAGACAAGCCCGAACCTGTCCGCGCTCGCTTCGATTGCATCACCACCAAAACAGACCGGATCGGACCAGACCAGGCTAGAGCACGACCCTCTCCTTATCTTTTTTTCTGCTGCTGCTGCTGCCCCCATCCACTTCCATCCATCCCTCTCTCATCCTTTTCTTTTTCTTACACTCCTCCTAATCTCGGCAACTTCCATCTGTTTAAATCCGGAACTTCATTTTCTCACGGAACCCCTGACAACAAAACCATCTCCATACTCTGTGACCCAAGTTCTAGAGCTTTCCACACAAATTTCCGCCATGGCCGAAGTCCAAAGCGCCGGTGACGTGAGCTATCCCAACCCTAACGGCAGTAAGGTACGTTTGGAGCAGACATCGGCGACCTTTTTTGAAGACAGGAATGCTAACTACGACTGCTATCTATAGTTTGTCATTTCCCCACGGTGTAGCGTTACACAAACTGACTTTGCAATCCAGGCATCAGAGATGCTGTGACGAACGGTACAGAAGAAACTCAGTCGATAGCGGATGAATCAAAGTTCTAACAAGATTGTTTTGCAGGTCCTGTTATTACCAACATTAAGTCCGAGGCCTCGCGTACCCAAGAGGAATTGCGCGACCTGAGATATTCGAGCTCAACTCCGTCAACGACCACTGCGACCGGCCAGCCCCTGACCTGTATGTCGAGCGATTTTTCAAGCCAAGCCAGCAACCTCAGAAGACAGAGCTAATGACCGCATAGATTATCATTCCTTGCTTTACAGACTCCTGAGCGTGAGTTATCTCTTGGTCTGGTCTCAATTTACATATGTTGCTGACATCAACCAAGTGGGAGCAACCCAGAGCGACTGCCGTTTCCTTTGTGAGCGTCATCGCCTTTATTTTTGCCGCCCGTTACCTGCCCCTTCTTCGCTGGTTCTTCAAGTTTACGTATCTGGCTTTGGGATGTGAGTTGATGCTTGTTGGTGCATATATTGCGTACTCTAGCTGATTGAGATGGTAGTCACCGCTGCGGCCGAAATTGGTGGTCGTCTCGTGCTGTCACAGGGCCTCGCCAGCTCGTTCCGTCCTCGCAAATACTACACCGTCCCCAAGGAAACCGTTGAGGCAGTTTTGGAGGACCTCGAACAGCTCGTCGACTTCCTTCTTCTTGAGTTCCAGCGTATTCTGTTCGCCGAGAATGTTGTCCACACTGTTGCTGTATGTTTAGACTCGAATATGCTCATGTTGTCCTTGAAGGATGAGCTCAGCGCTGACCGGGAAATTGCAGGCCTTCTCTGCCGCCTTTACTGCCTACTGGCTGATCAAGTTCCTCCCATTCTGGGGATTGTCTCTGATTGCCGTCACCATCGCGTATCTGGGACCTCTCGTCTACATCAACAACCGCGAAGTCATCGATGCTCAAATTGAGAATGTCCATGGAATGATCAACTCCCAAGCCCACCAATTGAAGGACCTTGCTGAGGAGCGTACCCATCATGCCACCGGCCTCGTGAAGCAGTACGTCGGTGACTACAGCGCCAAGGCTCAAGAGTACATTGGTCACCGCCGCAGTACTTCACCAGAAGCTACCAAGAATACCGGTCCTGTTGTCAAGAAGGAGCCTAGCGCCGAAGCCGTTGTCAAGACAACGGACTTCCCGGAGGCCCCCAAGCAGGAACCGGTAGCAAAACCCATTGAGCACAACCGCGAGCCTTTGGAGACCAGGGAGCCTCTGCTGGCTGCTTAAGTGCGCAATTTGTCTCATTGCTCATCTATTGGCCTGCCTGTCGGTCAAAGATATGATGTCATCGGACAGGGATTATGCTAATGGGCAAGCGATCTAGTATTGCTCTCGCGAATTGAGTTTGGGTAGAATTGAATTGTACATTGTGACTCGGGATGGATGGTTCGGCGTGCATGATGTTAAGATGGTATGATATCTCAGGGTTTCTATTTCGCTTATTTCCCTTTACAAGGGTCTTTTTTTCTGTCTGTGTGCAACCGCGTCTGCGTTAACACTCAGGTTCATTGCCTAAAAGCTTCACCATCAGTATTTTGTGACTCATGTGATTTTCTTTTTCTTTTTCTGCGTTTCTCCCCCCTTTCATGTTTTTCTGGTATCCCTCTATCCAAGAAGCACATCAGAGTGCTAAATGACATACGCTACGATCTGTCTCAAATTTATTGAGTTGTCTGCATAATGTTTGCTTGTGCCGTTGCTTTCTTGGCTATGAAGGTCCGATCCATTGGTCTACCTGTCCTTTTCTGGTTCCAACAATGCCAATATGAAGTAACGGTTTCTATGTTCAATTTTCAAACCATGGCAGCTCCAAGGCTCAATCAGCGCAATGACTCCGACTCGCGTCTTCTCAGACAATCCTGCATCTAAATCCGGACCAAGTTCACAAAGCGTGGTACTTTTGTTCCTAATACATCCAAACAGGACATAACGTTCTCTGTGTTCTGTAGTAAGCGGGATGACCTCGCTCCTTTCCACCCCTTTACCCCAGATTGGGAGACGTCACACAAGTGTTGCCTGAGCTGTTTGATGATGCCGCAGTCGACAGGGATCATCCCGTTCTGAGTCTAACGGGGGACACCCGGCAACGTCGCATTTCGCAACGGGCATACTTGACTGCGTGCTGTATGTCATGCGATGCCATGTATAATGCACATTGATTAATTAAGGAGTTACCTAGGCTCCAGTGCAACTCCAGGTTGTATGTAGGTACAGTCCAATGTAACATGAGAGTCCCTGACACATGGGTTGGGAGGTTGGGAAAGAGACTTCGATGCATCATACTTCGTACCTCGAGGTCACGGGAGGCTGGCTTGTTTGTGCTGTTTGCACTATCAATAGACCAGGACCTGGGCTGGACCTACTTGCTCTCTTTGACATCGAGTCTCCCATCAACTTCAGGTCAAATGTGACTGACGATCTGCGCAGGCAGGCTAACTGAAGTCGTTGTAATATCTATTTTAATCCTGTCGCGGTCTGACTTGCAGAAGATGGCATTGGTCGATGCCGCATCCTATGCCGTCCGCCACATACGAGTAACAGCTTTGAAGCCATGTTTTGACTCTCTGATTTCGTTTTGAAAGCAAAAGAATAGGCTGGATGTTCATTCCATGGCGAAAATAAAAATGGTTCCTGACAGATGTAGTCCATGTTTCGGACGTTGAGCTTCTCTCTCACCTTCTAGATCCTCCTTGTCTCAAACTTGAGAGGCTCTGGGAATGGCAATCGCAGCTGATCGATACTACCGGATACTGCCACTGACTTTGGCCGGTGATGGCTAAGAATATTTGCTATTGTCTTGAGTTCAAGCAAGACATCACTCTCTGTTGATTGGGATGAGGCTGGAAAACAACGTCGCCAGTCGCCATGAACCTATCGCCCCCAAGCTTAGCTGCGGCTCTGAAGAACCGTTGACAAACCAATGCAAAGCCTTCAAAGAAGAAATTTGAAAGGATGGCAAAGACAGAACTGTCGACAAATCAACGAAACAAGCAGGTCTTCCCATAGACAGGCCATCAAGCAAGAATGACGACTGGTACGCCACAGAGGTTGTGGACCTACTGCAGAGAACCTGCATGGAATGTTCCTTTGAAGGCTGTGGTCATATAGGCAGAGTCTGCAAAACCTGCGTCTCTGATGAGATAACTGGCCAGTGAGAGCTATGTTCGTCCATAGCGGTCTGTCGGAACTAAAGCCGGCAAGTTGACCAACGGGTGTCACTTCCAGGGAGCGAGGCTAGTATGGCATGTTCATGTTATCGCGATGTCGTCTGACGGGGGGAAGCAGGGGAGTGGAAATAGACCTGACTACATAATTTTGGGAGCTCTGTTGGTGTAACAACTGTTATTGTGCTTGTCACTCTTTCTTCGAAGGCTAGCTCGGCTTCATCCAAGAGCTATCTGATTCTGAAATGTCTATCAACCACGGCAGCACAATTTTTTGTTCAGTTTTTGAGTTGTTTCTAACCGGATCCGACTCGGATGGAGCCAAGCTCGCCCTTACGGGCAAATTTACGGGCAATACTGGGTCTCACCTGGCTCAAGTGGCTGATTTAGTAGGAACTCGTTGGTTGAGAGCAAAAGCAGCTTCCCGTCGTACAGGAAGAAAGCGTCATGCAGCTATCCGCGGTCTCAGACCTCCCTACTGCCCGCCTCGTCGAGCCATCGCTGTAGAGCCCGTTCGTTCATTGGCCATTGTCGTCCGGTCAGGTCTAATCTTCCGGATGATCTAGCGGTTGATACCATCTTCTAAGGTCGAGGTCATCGACATGGATGGTCGATATCAAGTTGCGAGGGCAAAAAAAGTGACCAAAACACTATTTCGCCAACCGGGAACGGGAACAACCATAGATGGTCAACAAAAAAAAATAGTATTGCGGTACGAAAGTCTGTCGATACCCTCTTTTGTTTTTCAAGGCTACCTTGTCCCTTTGCGGTCTACGCTCGTCAGACCGCTGTCTCCATCTGTTTGCATGGTGGGGATCTGGAGCAAGAGCAGCAATAGACATGGTCCAGCTATGCAAGACCTCCACATGGTGGCAGTCGTTCCTGAAACGTGATCTACCATGTCTCTTCGTTAGGCCTGCGTCATCTCTTGGTCTTGGGTAGCTGCAGATCAGGAGTGGAACAGGTGAAGCCTCGAGAGATTGGAGGGCATGCGTGACTTTTGATCGAGCTAGTAGGGGTCACAGGTCATGACCGGGCACTGAGAGGGGAGGTGGAGGAAGAGGAAGAGAGAGGAAGGGGAGCAAGCTTTCTGTCATTGCCGAGCGGGCGCTAATTGAAGCTCTGTTGCAACCGAACCGTTGTCTGGTTATACCTTGGGAGTACCTGCTATACTCTAAGGGTGCTTGAGGTAGGGCAAGTCTGGACTCGCCATCGCAGCCTGGCCAATCTGAACGTGCACCTCGTGATGAATCCTGGGTCCAAGTACCGGTGAGGTTGTTCTCATGCCGAAGACTTCCCACCTCAATCTAAGACATCCGCAACCCAGACGTCTAGATCCGGAGCCGTAGGCCTTGGTTCACCGCTGCCTCCCGGTCATGGAACATTGCCTCGAAAAAGAGGATTTTGCACTTGCTGAGATGACTTCTCAGTCTGGCTGGCCGAACAAACAGAGTATAGCCATTTGGGCAGCATTCCTAAGACGCCGTCACTTGTATCCACTCTTAGAAGGGGATCCAATTCAGAACAAGCCTCCTAACAAAGAACTGAAAAGGGTGTCGCCCACTCGTCTCTTGTGAGGGTCTCTTACATTCTATTTTCTAATCTGGCTCTTTGGGCTAGTCCGGTGATCACCAAAAGCAGTACGGTAACCACACATTTGCGTACCCTTCGTTCCCGTCTCTGCATATCCCATCCTTTTTGTTTCCATTGTCTCTTATATTCTCCTTTGGCACTGAGCAAGACCTTCTAGAATCCTTTAATCCTCAGTGTCTTGGGGACCAGATTGGACACGATTGACTTTAGCCTCATCCTCTGTTGTTCATCAAGTCAGATAAATCCTCTTCCAACCCTGACCTTTTGTCTCCTTCAGTGTCTCTCATAATCTCCAGTTTCGAAGAGAAGGTTGTTTTCGGAAACCTCACGGAAGATCCGCAGACTCTACTTTGTTCTCAACCTTCGTTTCGAGCACTGTTTACATGGCGTCGATAGCATCCTTGTTGAATCCCCTTCCCTGCCCGAGCCAAAAATCATTACCAACTCCAACACTGACAAGCTCTGCGGCCAGTATGGCTTCTAATACGCCCCGCCCTAAACGGCCCAAGGTTGCCAAAGATGCCGCGATCTTCACAAAGGCTAAGTCCAGGGGGGAGGTCCGGTATCCCCCGTGCGAAGAGCGAGACGACGAGTTGGCTCGAAAGCACCGCGAATTTCGCATCCATCCCATGGGCGATATTGCAGAGTACGCAAGACACATACCGTATAACAGTGAGAAGAAATCGTTCCAGGAGCGGACTGGTCGGGAGAGTTTTGAGGGTGAGTCGCAGCAGCCAACACCACATCCCCAAGGGGTGTGTATGCTTACAGGCTCTCTAGTCTTTCAGTATACGTTTAAACTTCCCGGCGACGAGAAAGAATGGATTGTGATGTGGGATTACAACATTGGTCTGGTGCGGACGACGCATCTCTTCAAATGCAATGACTATTCAAAGGTACACAGCACGACTTTGGCTGCTAGTTCCTGACTGACTGAGATCAGACGACACCAGCCAAGATGCTGAATGCCAACCCTGGTCTCCGTGAGATTTGCCACAGTATCACTGGAGGAGCACTTGCCGCCCAAGGTATTTGACCGTCATTTTCTGTCTGTGTTCTCCTGCTGACTCTTTACCTTTTGAGGCTACTGGATGCCATATGAGGCAGCAAAAGCGATGGCAGCGACATTCTGCTGGAAGATCCGACACGCCTTGACACCATTATTCGGCCTGGATTTCCCATCGATGTGCATTCACCCTCAGGACCGTGGACGGTTCGGCCGTATGGTCATCGACCCGGCTATTGTAAGAAAGGCTACCGAGACGGCAAACTACTACCGCATGATTGAACTCCAGTCTCCATCTTATAGTTCCCTCCACCTTCTCCGGACAGGAACTAATTTCCGTCCGACCTCAGCAGGGAGCTCTGGGTTCGTGAAGCGACTCATACCCCGATCTCTTCAGCACCGATACCCAGATAGTAGGAGCGGCTACGGGTCGTCCTCGCCCGAGTACCATGGCGACACATACT